TGGCTGAATCTGCGCTGACAATACATCTCTAAACACTGCAGAATTCATCTGGCTGCTTCTGTCTTCTGTCACATTATCAATAAACAAAAAAGACCCAGTGCCACTGGAAACCATGCATGCCCATGCCATCACACTGCCTCCACCCAGCTTTAGTCCTCATTCACACTGGATGTTTTTATAGCTGCTGTTTTTGGCTTTTGATATTTTTTGTTACAGCCAGTGAACTCCCCAGCATGTTATCCTATGTGTCCATACACACATAGACTGTAATCAACGTTTTTTAGGAGGGGCGTTTTTTGTCTGGAAAAAACCCCCAGAACTGGTGGGTTTCTAGAGAAGTTTTTTTAACTGTAAAAATGCTCTAACGCTGAAAAACGTGGTAAAACGTGGTAAATCGCAGCAAATCAGTGTTTTTGGATTTTTTTGGGGTAAAAAAAATTTTCTTTACAAAAACGCTATAAAATGCTGAATAACTCAAATTTTTAATGTGACTTTACACAGCTAACATTACCAGTGTTATTAATACGCTCAGTGTGCATGGAGCCTTACAGATGACATTGTGTGCTTTGGATCATGAGCTGTTCCATGCCTCCTCCACAGTTTTTCCTTCCTGTCATTCTGGTACAGATTAATTTTAGTTTCATCCATCCAAAGAATACTTTTCCAGAACTGGTCTGGCTTTTTTAGATGTTTTCTGGCAAAGTCTAATCTGGTTTTTCTATTCTTCAGGCTTTATGAATGGTTTGCACCTTATGGTGAACCCTCTGTATTTGCTCTCATGAAGCCTTCTCTTGATTGTAGACTTTGACAATGATACAACCACCTCCTGGAGAGTGTCCTTCACTTGTCTGGATGTTGTGAATGGGTTTTTCTTTACCATAAAGAGGATCCTGTGATCATCCACCACTGTTGTCTTCCATGGACGTCCATGCCTTTTATGTTGTTGAGCTCACCAGTGTGTTCTTCTTTCCTTATAATGTATCAAATTGTTGATTTGGCCACTCCTAATGTTGCTGCTATCTCTCTGATGGATTTGTTTCATTTTTGAAGCCTTACAATGGCCCGTTTCACTTGCATGGACAGCTCCTTTGAATGTATGATGTAGGTTCACAGCAATAGATTCAAAATGCAAATGCCACACTTACAATTAACTCCAGACCTTTTACCTGCTTAATTGATGAAGAAATAACGAAGCAGTAGTCCACACCTGGCCATGAAACAGCTTTTGATTCAATTGTCCAATTACTTTTAGTTCCTTGAAAAAGGGGGGATGGTTACTCTTAAGAGCTGTAATTCCTAAACCTTTCTTCCAATTTGGATGTACATACCCTCAAATTAAATCTGAGAGTGTGCACTTTTCATTAATATCCATTATATAACTATAGCTTTAATGTGTTTTGGTAAATACCTGAAAAAAACTAAAATTGTGCCTGTGTCCAAATATATATGGACCTAACTGTATTTGAGCATATGCACTACGAGATCACCCTCAGATCATGCATCGTAAAATATCTATAGGCTTTGGTCAAGTTCAGAACCCAGGTATAGGATAAACTTCCACTGGGTGTCATGGGTTAGAATTAATCTAATAAAAATGGCTCTTTTGGCCAAGATCCTATACCTTCTGTGGCATCCCCGTATGTATTTACCACTAAAGTACTTTAAATGTATAGATTCCATCCTTAAATCATTTGTCTACGGAAATGGTAGACACAGAATTCACAGCTACAGCTTAAAAAAAAATTGCCTGCGGGGAAATCTCTTACCTGGTTTAAATTTTTATTATCTGCATGTAACACTCACACCTACCAGTAACTAAGCATTTTTTAAATAAGATACATTTGGCTATCAATACTACCCAGGCTGAGGAGCTAAAGGGGATGCCCTAGGTCAGCTGGAGTGTCTATTTGGCTATTTACTTTTGTTTACCGGTGAATGCATATGGGTGGAGGAATTACAGTGACGATTGGCTCAATAATTTGGATTCACGTTGCCGCATTGCACTTGCAGTGGAGATTGCTAATCATTGGAAATATTCATGAACTGACATTGTTGCACTAGCACTATTCTCACTCTAATGGTGCATTTTTTGAATGGTTATATAATTTACGAATTGTTGCACTACTTTTTTATATTGTTGCACTTGTTCACTTTACAATATAATATAGTGCATAATTAGAGATGTATTTACTTTTGCATGCACTTTATGATATGAATTGCACTATTTATGGCTGTATTGATGTAATTTAAGCGCTGCACTATTTGTATTACATAGATAAATTTATGAAAATATTCCTACATAAAGTTTATTTACTGCAATAAAGCTGATCACGCAAGACTAGATGCAAGCTACCCCTCCTACCTTCCAAGCCTGGTTATCAGAAGTAAATGCTATCCTCTTATATACACTGCTCAAAAAAATTAGGAATACTTTTTAATCAGCATATAGCATCAAGTCAATTAATCTCCTGGGATATTGATCTGGGCAGTCAAGTAGCAGAGGGGGTTGTTAATCAGTTTTAGCTGCTTTAGTGTTAATGAAATTAAGAACAGGTGCACTAGATGGGCAACAATGAGACGACCCCAAAAAACAGGAATGGTTTTACAGATGGAGGCCGTTGACATTTTTTCCCCTACCTATCTTTCTGTTTTTCACTAGTTTTGCATTTGGTTAGGGTCAGTGTCACTACTGGTAGCATGAAGTGATACTTGGACCCTACAGAGGTTGCACAAGCAGTCCAACTCCTCCAAGATGGCACATCAATAAGAGCCATTGCCAGAAGGTTTGCTGTGTCTTCCAGCACAGTCTCTAAAGCAAGAGATTCCAGGAGACAGGTAGTTACTCTAGGAGAGCTGGACAGGGCCGTAGAAGGTCCTTAACCCACCAGCAGGACCAGTATCTGCGCTTTTGTGCAAGTAGGAACAGGATGAGCACTGCCAGAGCCCTACAAAATGGCCTCCAGCAGGCCACTGGTGTGAATGCCTCTGACCAATCAATCGGAAACAGACTTCATGAGGGTGGCCTGAGGGCCTGATGTCCTCTAGTGGGCCCTGTGCTCACTGCCCAGCACAATAGAGCTCAATTGACATTTGCCATTGAACACCAGAATTAGCAGATCTGCCACTGGCGCCCTGTGCTTTTCACAGATGAGAACAGGTTTGCCCTGAGCACATATGACAGATGTGAAAGGGTCTGGAGAAGCCGTGGAGAATGTTATGCTGCCTGTAACCTCATTCAGCATGGTGGTTTTGGTGGTGGGTCAGTGATGGTCTGCGGAGGCATATCCATGGAGGGACACACAGACCTCTACAGGCTAGACAATGGCACCCTGACTGCCATCAGGTATCTGGATGAAATCCTTGGACCCATTGTCAGACCCTACGCTGGTATAGTAGGTCCTGGGTTCCTCCTGGTGGATGACAATGTCTGGCCTCATGTGGCGAGAGTATCCAGGCAGTTCCTGGAGGATGAAGGTATTGATACTATTGAATGGCCCCCATGCTTGCCTGATCTAAATCCAACAGAACAACTCTGGGATATCATATTTCGGTCCAACCAACATCGCCAGGTTGCACCTCAGGCTGTCCAAGAGACCAGTGATGCCCTGGAAGGAAATACCCCAGGACAACATCCGTCGTCTCATTAGGAGCATGCCCTGATGTTGTCAGGCATGCATACAAGCACGTGGGGACCATACAAACTACTGCATACCATTTTGAGTTCCTGCAATGAAATTTCAGCAAAATGGACTAGCCTGCTGGATCATTTTTTCACTTTGATTTTCAGGGTGTCTTTGAATTCTGTTCTCTGTAGGTTGATAATTTTCATTTCCATCACAAGATGGAGCATCCTTACATTCTTAACACATTACCCAGTCCATATCAGTATTGAAAGTACAATAAAATCTTGGACTGTTGGTTGGAACATCCCACTACATGTGAGTAACTTTTAATTCTGCCCTTTTGGGCTCTACAGGTCTTTGGACTTCAATTGAAGCACAACTGACTCTTCTCGTTGAATGTAGATACTGCCCCTTGTGCTGTTTTTTTGGGGGGAGTTTTGCATTTTTTTCCTACACTTTAGTCTAGTACAGACAATGAGAAAATTAGGATGAAAAATACTGCTTTCTGAGCGATCATCCAATAATCTGATCATTAGTACACAGCTTTCGAGAGTCGATCACAACAGTTCATGCAAAATTATCCAAAGGGACAAGCACTTAAATTTTTCTTTCTCGATAACAGAATGAACCATTTTTGTTTAAATAGTACAATATTTGTCCATAAAAAAGTGACCAAGACCGTGCATGCTCGGAAAGGAAAGAATACATTACAATACAATAGATTACATCACTTCCAAAGTTGTATTCTGTCGTACAAGAATTCTCATAACTCTAGTAACCTATTCATTTTCGATATGAGACTAGCATGCAAAACAAAAACGAATGATCATTTGTCCAATATTCTCATCATATGTACGAGGCTTTAGGCTTTAAATAATTCTCAAATGCAAGTTTGATGTACCTGAAAGCATTCTGCATTTGCCGCTTACACAAGCCTTTATGGAAATGTGTGCAGGAGAAAACCCAGACAATTAGGAAAACATACAAATATTAGGCTGGCAATATTATTCTCTCTATAAAGAAATTAACCCAGACCTTCACTACTACAATGTAACAGTGCTAACCACGACAACATTACTGAATCAGATGAATCCAAAGTAGGCTTGCTTTATTTGCGAGCATACAGTATAATTTTACTGAAGATGAAACACTGATAATCATTTAATCAGCAGCCAATAATGTATTTGAAGTGGTGTAGATTGCTCTAATCAGCAATGTTTAATCTTGGAAGACCCCAGAAATTAAAAATCATTAACCTACACATAAAGAAATACAAGGCCAAAGAAAATGAATTATGCTTAAAACAAACACATATGGTTTATGAAGCATCAGCAAACGACCTATATACTTTGTTGGATAAAAGACAAGGATACATACACCTAGGGCGGGTCGCTTGCAGGGACTTGAGTCCTGGCGAGTGTGAGTTCCATGAATCCTGTGTCTCTGCACTAGTTCATCAGCTGAAGGATCTGTCCAGTAATGATCTGCTGTCTTTAGCTTTGTGTATTCTAATGCACAAGGTCCAACTGCAGAATAACACAAGGAGAAATGAATCCACTGTGCAATACAGTAATTTTAAGAATACACATCACTGTTCTTGTTCCTGAACTAAAGTAGTTGTTACATGCATTCAGTTTACTTTAAAAGAAGTATTAGCACAAGTATTATTGAATTGTGAGAACTGTGATTGACCATGGAATGGTAGCTTTCAGTCTACACATTTCTTTCCATTTCACATGCCTTTTATATATATTTATCTCTATTATATGAAGATTAAGTGGCAGTGACAGGTTGAGGCAAACAAAACACTGCTAGGGGTGTGGTTGAAGAAAAGGTTTTTTTTCAATAGATTTAAACCATGTGAATAAAATGCAACCACTGTAATAAACCCAGATAATACTAGAATATAAATAAAGCATCTGAAAAAAAAAAATTCAAACACAGAATATGTCATTATCATACATGCATTCACCACTATGAAGTATTAGTAAGAAAAGGAAAGGGACTTCGGCAGGGATCTGACCATATAAGCACAAAAAACATAATTTTATCAGTTTTTAACGTGTTATCTGGTCTCCCACAGTACACACCCCATGGAAATGCAATTATTTTGAAAATATAAACTGCTTAATAACTTTTTTCATTAGCAGTTAGAGCAGTCTTGTGACTTCTATCAGTATCCAACACAGCACATGTTAAAAATTGTAGGAGGAGCTTTCTTTCTGCTCTAGGCCCTGTGCTGATCACATGCACTTTCCCAAGAAAAACAAAAACCTCTCTAGCAATACACACTAAACTGAGCATGTGCAGAGTGTCACCACACATATGTCTTATCGGGAGATAAGAGGGAGACACTGGAAGAAGGGAAGAATCAGAGAAGTCAGGCTTAAACAGCATTTTTAAACAATGCAGAGGATTAACCCTTTAAGCTCCACAGTGAGTATAACAAGCATGTTTTACTGCATATACAGACTCATTTTACTGTTGTGGGTTTAGTAACACTTTAAGGACAGAACCATAAAGGTAGGTCCACATCAAAATACAAACCCATTTCACATTGCGTTTTTGCATTTTAGGTTCCAGCAGTTTACCTCTCAATATACTGATAAATCTGCATTTAATTAGACATATGTAAAAATATCTGTGAATGGAGGTGGGCGATCTTGTCATTCATCTGCCTCTCCTCCATTCAGAAAACACTTTGCATCCCGTAAAAAATAATCTAAGGATCTTTTGTGAATGTAGGATTGGGCGGACCAATCAGCTTCCAGGTTTTATTGTTCTAGCTTAATTGAACAAGTTGTAGTTAGAAGCTAACTGGTTACCATGCACAGCTGGACCAGATTCTGAGTGCTCCGGTTTTAGTAAATCAACCCCATATATTAGTCGTTATAAAACTGACAATTGCAGGACCATCAGCATTTGACAGCCCAGTCCACTTATCATTTTACAAAAATTTGCACTAAATGTATTTGGCTATACCTAATAAACCATGATTCTCGTTTTAGTCTTACCTAAAAGAACTGCCAAGATCGGACCGCAAACTGGATCAGCCAGTAAAGCTTCTTTCTCATAATATTTACTGTAGAGATAAACAATAAACAATATCAAGTATTGCATGCAGTGACTTTATCACACAATTCAACCTTTATGTGAGAGTGGGGCGATCCACCTGCCCCTATTGTCACCACTGTGTCCTGTAGTAAGGTAGGGTCTGGCAGAAGAAACCACAGAGCACAGCAGCTGACTAAGAATCCAACTCTTCAGAACGCTGGAGGATTCTTCAGGCAACGTTTTCTCCTCTACAGTAGAAATAGATACTGAATAGCAAGAGTTGAGGAATTACAATCTTTGTTACTTTTAGTGCCATAGCACAGTGGTCATTAAAGATGGCAGTGTGAATCCTCTGCAACCACCCTGTTATGCAACCAGTCCTATCATTGGAAGGTGCAATCCCAATTGTTGTTGATATTAAGTATTATGAAAAGAATACAATGTCAATCTATCCAACCTTTTATCTTTTATAGCTTGTTTTATATGTTCTCACTCATTAAGGAAAGACATTTAGCTTTTGAATTAGGATGCTTTTACTGATTTATGGGGAAATGGTGATAGAATGTCATGTATATTGTTACTATAGAGAACAGTAAATTAGCTTTGCTATATTTTCAGCACTATATTTTCATCCATTATGGAGCACATTAAGATACATTATATCTGAGCTATAAGGCATGACTAAAGTAAGGTTAAACATTTCCAGCTGAATTATATTACCACTTTCAAAGAGGATTAATATGTAATTCTTCTTGCTGAAATAGTCATTTGTTCATTTATAAGCTCTGCTCAGCTGGATTCATCCCCATAAAAGCAAGTAACTGAGCAAACTGAGCACAACAGAACAAAAATGGTAATTAATTGTATTTACATAAGTTATTTGACTGTTCTGCCGTACAACATCACACTGAGATCTCTATCATTCTCTATTTCTATCTTATAATATCAAACATACAGTGGGGCAAAAAAGTATTTAGTCAGCCACCAATTGTGCAAGTTCTCCCACTTAAAAAGATAAGAGAGGCCTGTAATTGGCATCATAGGTAGACCTCAACAGAGACAAAATGAGAAAAAAAATCCAGGCAATCACATTGGCTGATTTGGAAAGAATTTATTTGCAAATTATGGTGGGAAATAAGTATTTGGTCAATATCAAAAGTTCATCTCAATACTTTGTTATATATCCTTTGTTGGCAATGACAGAGGTCAAACATTTCCTGTAAGTCTTCACAAGGTTGGCACACACTGTTGCTGGTATGTTGGCCCATTCCTCCATGCAGATCTCCTCTAGAGCAGTGATGTTTTGGGGCTGTCGCTGTGTGTGCCAACCTTGTGAAGACTTACAGGAAATGTTTGACCTCTGTCATTGCCAACAAAGGATATATAACAAAGTATTGAGATGAACTTTTGATATTGACCAAATACTTATTTTCCATCATAATTTGCAAATAAATTCTATCCAAATCAGCCAATGTGATTGTCTGGAATTTTTTTCTCATTTTACCTCTCATAGTTTAGGTCTACCTATGATGCCAATTACAGGCCTTTCTCGTCTTTTTAAGTGGGAGAACTTGCACAATTGGTGGCTGAATAAATACTTTTTTTCCCCACTGTAAATTAGCCATACCTCCCAACAGTCCTGGGATTTTAACAAAAACCCGACATCCCACAGAGCTATACCCAACTTGGCTCCTTTGCATGTGCAAAGGCAGCAGTTATAAAAGTCCCAAACCTTTGTCATCATTGCGCATAGACAGAAACTTTCCTGCATGTGCACAAATATGCCAAATGGCTCTGCCAGGACCCAAAGGCCAGGAAGAATTCTTCACCACATCTGCACATGATGGCTCATGGCAGCAAAGCCAAAAAAGAAGAGAATAGTTTCCTCTTTAAAGAAGAAAAAAACCTGAAAAAAAAAAGAACAAAATAGAAAAAAAAACTTGCAGCCACCACATTTAAAGAATGGTAATCTGCTTTGTATTGTATTTTTGCTCTTGGATTTAGACACATTCAAAAGATTGTGGTCACCATAAGGTGCCAGATGGTAACTTTAGGCCCACAAAAACTCAAAAAAGCAGTTTCCTAGTAAGTTTCCTAGTACTACATTTCCTTGTTGGTTGAACCAGCATGGTGTCACTCTGCTGCTGCTCCCTTTGCTTTGCTCTCCAAACAGTGATCCATGTTCGAACAGACAGATGGTGAGGAAGTATTGTATTGCCACCTCATTGCCTGCTTTAACCCCCAAAATACAAGACATCCACACTGCAACTGCATGAGTTGTGTGTGGTTACAGTGTGGACCTATTTAGTTGAATGGGTCATGCTCGGTGGGGGCGGTACTGCTCTCTGAACCTGTCAGGGGGTATAATTTCTGTTACGGCCAAGATGCAATGCATCACAGCCATGGCATGTGAATACTTCTTCTGTAGCAAAAGGGGCAGCGGTTGAGGGGTGCTAAAAACGCAGTTTAACTGCGGGGTATTGCCACCACCCCCAATCGTAACTGTAAATGAGCCTTTTGTGACAAATGAGATTCTGCAACGCAGATGAGTGCATTTTTATCAATCCTCTTGCTGGGGAGTTGCAACCAGTGACAGGTTCGCTAGTGTGATGAGGACCTTAGGTTTCTTGACTATCACCAGACAGCACTGCTAGAACTTCCAAGGTTTCTAGGGTGCAGATAGAACTTTCCACAGGACTCTATGCCCAAGCACTGTCACCTAAGAGTAGGGGTGCCCCCAGTAGAAGACTTTTAGAAAGGTTGTCTTTGCATAGGAATTTTTATAGGCTAATGCTAAATGTACTATCTGCCACCATACAGTGCTCACTATCCTGGGTGGAACATATACTTATCATAATAATAGGACAACAGGCTTACTTTATTGAAGCTCTGTTGTTTTGCCAATTACATAGTTACATTGTTAGTCTGGCTGAAAAAAGCCAAAAGTCCATCCAGTTCAACCTTAAAAAAAAAAAAAGTTATAATCCTACACTCAAAGTTTATCCAGAGGAAGGCAAAAAAACTCAGCAAAGCATGATCCAATTTGCTCCTGCAGGGGAAAAAAATTACTTCCTGATCCCCCAAGAGGCAATCAGATATTCCCTGGATCAACTTTACCTATAAATGTTAGTAACCAAGAAAGAATCCAGGCCTTTTTTAAAGCAATCCAGAACCAACTCTTGAGCGAGTCTATTCCACATTTTCACAGCTCTCACTGTGAAGAAACCTTTCCATATTTGGAGATTAAATTTCTTTTCCTGCAGACGTAAAGAGTGCCCCCTTTTCCTCTGTGATGACCTCAGGGTGAATAGCTCTACACCGAGTTCACTGTATTAAGCACTGATGTATTTATACATGTTGATTATATCCCCCCCTTAATCTCCTCTTCTCAAGAGAGAATAAATTCAGTTCCTCTAATCTTTCCTCATAGCTGAGCTCCTCCATGCCTCTTACCAGTTTGGTTGCCCTTCTCTGTACTTTTCTCCAGTTCCCCAATGTTCTTTTTGTGAATTGGTGCCCAAAATTGAACTGTATATTCCAGATGAGGTATTACTAATGATGTGTACAGGGGTAGAATGATATCTCTCTCTCTGGAGTCTATACCTCTTTTAATATAAGAAAGGATTTTGCTTGCTTTAGAAAATTGCATGCCATTATTAAGCTTATGATCTACAATCTTAATTAAAGACAAACTGATCTTAATAACTCATCTGAGAACCATCTATTCTCACTCTTCCTGCACTCCACTGTCTCACTGTTCCTTTGGCAGTCGAACCTTGTGCAAGTTTCATACTGAAAGGTGTTGGAGCCTACACAGGGTTGATGATGTCACCTCTACCTCAGGTTACAGTGGTTGAGTCTGGAGACTGGCCATTCAGGTGCTTCCATATATCAGAAAGAGCTGGCTATTTGCATCAGCTCTGACAGACCAACAGTGTAATGGGAGTGCGTGGAAGGGAAGTCATAAGGCATTTCTTGTTACTACATGATAGACTGTATTTTGGCTGTATATTGGCTGTCCTGATTATTTGCACAGATGAAGACAAAAATGATACAGTGTATAGGAAAGATGTTTTTATCATGGCAGAACTTGCTGTGATGTGTTTTGGTAAGATGAAGGGAATGCATTTCCTTGAATGGAAAGAAGATGAAAGGGCTGAATGATGAAACAACGATGAATCTATTTGAATTTTAATACAGTGAAAACAAGTTGCAAGTTAAGTGTAAGAATTACAGTACTCAGCTGGAAATCATCTGCTTATACATTAGCGACAATTGTGGTTTGATAGAAAATTGACAATAATTCATTATACTCTGCATGCGCTGTGTGAATCTCTGCCGTTCCCTGCAGATGATAGTAGACACATAGAATGACAGTGTTCATTGAAATCCTAATCCTTACATTTAATACCAATAGCATTTTGTCTTCAATAGAAATTGAACGCACTCAATAAAGTGACCCTGTCATCAAAATTAAATTGATTAAAAAAGACTTGCCTGTTAGAGAAGAGAAAATACTTACCTTTCCCACTGTCTGTGCTACTATAAACCTAGCTTCATTTAGGCCACGTGTACACTTCTGCTCACAAACGTGACTTCAAGAGCTTTTGACTTGTTTTGCCAAAGCCCCTGAACTTAACTCAATAAAAGCCACTAGGGTTGATTTACTAAGGCAAAGTAGGATGCACCCTGCAAGTGCACTCCAAGTGCACTCAAAAGTGCACTGAAAGTGCAGTTGATCTAGATCTGAGGGGATCATGCAAGGAAAATGAAAAAAAAACAGCATTTTTGCTTGCACATGATTGGATAAAAGAAATCAGCAGAGCTTCGCCTCATTTCAGGACTTCCCCTCGGATCTAAAGCAACTGTACTTGCAGTGCACAGTATATTTACCTTTAGTAAATCAACCCTTATTTGTCCATGCACACATAGACTTTTACCAGAGTTTAACGGCAACAGCATTTGGGGCCAGTGAAATGCCTCTCTCCTGAATGCAGAAGAATCGTGTTCAGGAGAGGAAGTTTTAGGTACAAAATGCTAAACGCGGCCAAAATGTTGCAAAACGCGCCTAAGTGCTAACTACGTTTAGCACTACGTTTAGCAGTACTCTGGCCATTGAAATGAATAAACATCTAATCCGCTAAACATAGCCAAATGCACGTTTACATGCATTTTTGCTGCGCTTAGCGTTTTTTTTGCTGCTAGTGTGTATGAGGCCTAAGGAGACACATTCCTCTGAAGTCTGCTGAGAAACCACTAAAAATGAGAATGTCGTTCTTTTGTAAGTCCTACAGCGCTCAGTTGTTCCTCCGGCTGACATCCACATCATTGATTGGATGTCAACAACACTCCCATACATGTCAGTTTCACAGCAGACTTCAGTCTTCAGCAGAGCTACATTCAGCAGCTTAGGAAGCTGAAAAGGTTAGCATTTACTTGCTTTTACAGGCAAACCTTTTTGAGCAATTTTACTTTTGCAACAGGTTTTCTTTAAAGAAGACAGTCCATCAGAGTTGCTTTTGCCCCAAATGAAAAGTTGTATTGCGCATCACAGATGCCTGGACCTACAATGGGATCCATCACTTTTCTCACTACCTACACGGTAAAAACTCAGGTCGCATTCCACTGAAATCTTCATTCAAGTAGCTATATTGTGGTATTAGTATGGCTTACAGCGCAATCTCACCTCCCAAACGCGTTTCAGCCTTATTCAGGGCTTAATCATAGGGATCATACATCAAAATCTGCACCTTAAAATAACAAGTAACCAATAGCAGCTCTCATATTTCTGATCTCACAGGTTGCCTTTAAGGAGAATGTTTATATATAAACTATGCTTCTGAAAGTTCTTTTTCTTGGTTGACTGGCTGCCAAATTCTGGTTGTCAAATCAAATCATTGTAAACAATGTTTCTGTGTAATCTGTTGGTCGAAAGAACAATATTTTTCAAGGTTTTTGTTATTCTTAATTTTGTAGTTTTCCTCATTAGTAAATATATATGTTGTGGGTATTGGTACAGGTATCTCTAGTATATATAGCATTGCTGAAACACAAATTACTCAACAATTCATATGAGCACAAGTGTGCCGTTATCTGCAAAACAAACACAAATCAAAATGATTTTTTAAGTTACAGCATATTTTGTTTAACCCAAAACGAAATACTTGGAGTAGGGTTAACACTAAAATTAAAATTTTCTTACCTGCAGTTATCCACAATGTACTGGACAATTTTATCGAGCACTCTTTCTATCAGTGCCGTCCGCACCCAAATGTGCTTAAGGGCTTGTGGGGTGAGGGTGACTGTCCTTCCTGTGGTTGAACTTTGTCTTTTTAAGGACTCTTGGCCATTGGAGAAATTTTTTCTAGGAAAAAAAAAAACTTTTTGCAACAATGAACTTAAATTAAGATGTTATATACATTCTTTTTATTATGAGTTATGAGCTTAACATTAGAAATCAGTTCTCTGCGGGTTTGTATCTACACAGCTTGTTTGGATATGTGAGTCAGATTGCTGTCTGAATAAACTACTTACACCACATTTATCAGTCTATAGGTACACTTTATCTTCTCCAGGCATCCTAATGACTATTCTCAGGGGAGAAATTGCTTATCTACAGAGCTGTCTGGCAGCAATCACACTCCATATGTCATATGCATAAATATCCACGCTCAGATAAGATGAAGAGATCTGAAGTCTACAAATTGCTTTAATGTCATTAAACAAATGCTGATTGGAAGGGAAAGCATTACAAACAAGACCAAAATACTGGAGCCTTTTAAAAGAGGTATAACATTTATTATATTGCAGCTTACCAATTCTTAGATGTGATGGCTGTATTATTTTTCTTTTTTAGGCTTTCTTTCTTTTATTTTTACCTGGTGATCTGGCCAGTAAGTCTGTTGTTTTTCAAAAAGAACAAGTTCTCTTGCAAATGTACCATTTACAGGGATGAGATAAACCACTCAACAATGGAAGGGGTGCTTATAATGATCATCTTCTATTTATTTATGTAAAACGTTTATCTCAAAAAAATATGTTGCCGTAACTGCTTATAAAATGTTAGCTGGAGTTTGGCTGAAGTTTATTAATGTACACTGCTCAAAAAAAATTAAAGGAACACTTTTTAATCAGAGTATAGCATCAAGTCAATTAAACTCCTGGGATACTGAACTGGTCAGTTAAGTAGCAGAGGGGGTTGTTAATCAGTTTCAGCTGCTTTGGTGTTAATGAAATTAACAACAGGTGTACTAGATGGGCAACAGTGAGACGACCTCCAAAACAGGAATGGTTTTACAGGAGGAGGCCACTGACATTTTTTCCCTACTCATCTTTTCTGTTTTTCACTAGTTTTGCATTTGGCTAGGGTCAGTGTTACTACTGGTAGCATGAGGCAATACCTAGACCCTACAGAGGTTGCACAGGCAGTCCAACTCCTCCAGGATGGCACATCAAGATATGCCATTGCCAGAAGGTTTGCTTTGTCTCCCAGCACAGTCTCAAGATTTTGGTTTTGGTGGTGGGTCAGTGATGGTCTGAGGAGGCATATCCATGGAGGGACACGCAGACCTCTACAGGCTAGATAATGGCACCCTGACTGCCATCAGGTATCTGGATGAAATCCTTGGACCCATTGTCAGACCCTATGCTGGTATAGTAGGTACTGGGTTCCTCCTGGTGGATGACAATGCCCGGCCTCATGTGGCGAGAGTATGCAGGCAGTTCCTGGAGGATGAAGGAATTGATACCATTGAAAGGATCCCATGCTCGCCTGACCTAAATCCAACAGAACACCTCTGGGATATCATGTCTCGATCCATTCGATGCTGCCAGATTGCAGCTCAGACTGTCCAGGAGCTCAGTGATGCCCTGGTCCAGATCTGGGAGGAGATACCCCAGGACACCATCCGTCGTCTCATTAGGAGCATGCCCCGATGTTGTCCGGAATGCATACAAGCACGTGGGGGCCATACAAACTACTATTTTGAGTTGCTGCAATGAAATTTCAGCAAAATGGACTAGCTTGCAGCATAATTTTTTCACTTTGATTTTCGGGTGTCTTTGAATTCAGTCCTATGTAGGTTGATAACTGCAGCCAAAAAGAAAAAAAAAAAGACTGAAGAATCCATGTAATAACAAAACTACCTTTTACTGTAATATCTACCTTCAGTCCAAAGATTTTTCCCAAGTTATTTTTTATGCACTTAGATGTCCTCAGTCCTATGGCCAGCATTATTCAACCCAGTTCCTCTGAGCCCAAGTGATTATGGACCCACAACAGCTTGTTACTGGAGAATGAAAGAAGAAGCAGTAGCCTGAAAAGCTCATCTCTCTGCCACTCTGCTTTCTCCTGCTATCAGAATGCTTCTTCTCATTGGCTCATTGTACTGCTTGTTCCTCTTATACTCACACTGTGGTATATAGGGACTTCAAGAGGCTGATACTAGGTCATATGTAGGTACACACACTGTTTGAATTGAAAAAAAAATGCATTATTGATGTACTAATGATTACAGAGCTGAATTAATCACATCAGCTCTAGAAGGGTTTACACCCTTCATGACCAGGCCATTTTTTCCTATTTAGCACTGCCCTTAAGTAACTGGTAATTGCATGGTTATGCAACACTGTGCCCAAATGAAATTTATACAATTTATTTCACACAAATGTAGTTTTCTTTTGATAGTATTTGATCACCACTGGGTTTTATAATTTTTAATTATATAAACAAAAAAAAGATCAAAAATTTTGATAAAAATTTCTTCATAAATTTTGGCCAAAATGTATTCTGCTAGGTCTCTGGTAAAACAAAAATCCCAATAAGTGTGTATTTATTGGCTTGCATGAAGGTTATAGTGTCTAAAAATGATGGCATATATACTGGAATTATATTTATTTTTTCATACTACTAATGGCAGTGATCAGCGAACTAAAATGGGACTGGAATAGTGCGGTGGGTAATCTGACACTAATTGATGCTGGGAACTGCCACTGACGTCACCAGTGAGACTAATACAATGATAAGTAATAATACCATACATTGTCACTGTAAAAATGACACTGCCTGGGAAGGGGTTAACATGTAAAGCTATCAAAGGGCATCCGCCATAAAACCTGGAAACAGGCAGCGGGCGTCCGGTCTGGAAGTGGTTAATTTGTGTCTCCTATACCTGCCTAGAGTTAGGATAAGGAAATGTTGTCTAAATACAAGACACATGTGTACTCTTACATAAATCTCTGTGTGCTTTTTGTATTTTTTATTTCCAACAGTGATAGAAATGAATGCAGAGATAAAGAAAAAAAAAATAACTTCAGAATTTTCAGACAATATTACATACATTCTGGTCTGTGAAGGAAACAGTAGAGCTACTGACACTTGGAACCAATGAACCCCTTTTTGCATCTCTAGATGAAGATATGCTGACCTCCCCTACTACAGATCTGTCTCCTTGAGTTGGGTCAGGCTAATCCCCAAGGACAAAAAGCTTGTAGGCTGGTGCAGTCTGCTTCCTCCACTGTAGGTCCTGGAGCAGTAGCACAGCCAAGAGAGGAAGTCAGGAGAGATTTGGTTTCTCTGTGGTTTCCTGGTTCCTGGAGGCAGTATTCCAGTTGGCTATGCTGCATCCGGGTGACCTGTGGTGGCCATCTTTGGGTCAGCAGAGTTCCTCCCCCCAGGAACTTCCCTTTGGGATCATCCAGGCCTCATTCCTCCCTCTGAAGACAGACACTATCATTGCATCTTTACCCGCTGCCTCTCTGCCTTGAGCTGAACTGTGACTGTTACCCCAAGTGGCACTCTGGGGTTATAGGTAGTTGGCATTCTCTGCAACACAAGTTCTGAGTTAATTTGCAACCGGACTCTGTGTCTTCACTGCTGCAGCAGCCCACTGCACCTACTCACAAGTTGAAGGTGGATTCAATTTGTATCCAAATTACATCACCCATGGTGCGCAAGGAGGCTTCCCATTACAAATCAAGAGCCCTTCGATGTGGCCTTTCCATCGCGATGCATCCCATAACCCATATTCCTCCTTCAACATTTCAATTTTACATTCTTCAAACATTCACTTGTTTGTCCGTCCCCTCCGCCTTTCCATTTTTACAGAGTTCACTCTGTTACATAGAAGAGTGATCCAATACACGTCCCTGTTAAGATTTTTTTTTTTTAACTTTTAAAAAAAAATCTGACTGTCAACCAGACATCACAGATATTATTGGGATTCAAGCCCCTCAGACACCAGACGTGGTTGTCAATTGTGGGAATGCACTATACAATTACAAAACCAAGGATTTAGCAGTATATCTTGTCTAATGTTCCATGCAAATGTATCTCCTCTCTCTGGTTCTCTGGTTTTCTACAAGCACTGTGCCAATACTACTCAGCTACATCTGAGGCACTTACTTACTTGCTGATAACTGTACCTGCAATGAAGTCCTAGATAAAGGAATAAAAAAAACAGTGCCTGCCGGTGTTAAAGTGTTACTAAACCCACAACAGTAAAATCAGTCTGTATATGCAGTAAAGCATGCTTGTTATATTCACTGTGGAATCCTAGGGGTTAATCCTCTGCATTGTGTAAGAAAAGTATTTGATCCTTTCTTTTCTGCCCCTCCTCTTGTTGAAATGTCCATTTCATACAGACTGAACCCATGGTCACATGCACATGTTTAGTTTGGTGTGTATTGCTAGAGAGGTTTTTTTTTTTCTTGGGAGGGTGCATGTGATCAGCACAGGGCCAATCTGCACTGTCCAGTCAGAGGCTTCACATCCTTCTAGAGCAGAAAGAAAACTCCTCCTACAAGCTTTAACCAGTGCTCTGCTGAAGTCACAAGACTGCTCTAACTGCTGATGAGAAAATGTATTTAGCAGTTTATATTTACTAAAATAATTGCATTTCCATGTTCTATGTACTGTGGAAGACTGGATATAGTGAATGCAGGTCCTGGGTTTAGTATCACTTTAAGGGATTGTGGGCCACAATACATCCAGCCCTGGATGTATTGTGCCTCTGTTGATCAGTTCTGATATACAAACTGTATTTGCTGACTATAAGAAAATAAAATAGGCGGTGGAAGACAAGACAAGCTTCCAATACTATGCTGTCCAATACTTCCTCAATAACTGATTTCGCTGAATATTTCACAAAAAAAAAGAGTTTTGTCTCTCTGTATGAGTTTTTATTAGACACAAACAGTACTACTGGTACTGTATTAAACACCAATATACTGTAGATTCCATTTTGAGGACACACACTTTATTTTTGTTAGTCTTTCTTTAGTATCTGTTTTCCACCTCTGCATCTCAGATCTCATTTAAAATGGATAATAGCTGCTAATGTACTGTAATGTTTCTCAGCAGATTATGC